GAACTCACAGAGATTCAGAGGGATTTCTATCTCTGGAATGCTAGGATTAAAGGTGTGAGTGCCACCATTTTCTAGCCTTTGTATCTAGTGGCTGTCTGTTCTCTGACCCCAGATAAATTTATTAGAGTACACAATATTTTGGGGAACACAATACCACTACACCAGGGACTAACCAAAATTTATGAAATACTGCAAAAGCAATAGACATACCCTGTCAAAAGTCACATATGAAATAGATCATTTGAATAAGCCTGTATTCAGAAAAGGCACTGAATTGAGAATAGATAACCTTACAACAAAGAAAGCAACAGGCTAAATGACTTCACTGCTGAATTCTACCAGGTGTTTGAAACAGAAATTGTGCCCATTCTCTACAATGTCTCTCAGAAAATAGAAATATTGAGAAACATCCTAAGTTGTTGTAATCTAGTACCAAACCAAAGAACGAAAGGAAAATTTTAGTCGATACCTATCATAAACATAGATGCAAACTTTTCAAACTGAATTTAGCAAATCAAATACAACTACATATAGGAAAAAAATTATATACCATAATATAGCAGAGTTTCCAGGTATAAAGGCCCTCATTGGAAAACCAGTGTAAAACATCACATCAGTAGGTTAAAGAAGAAAAATCATATGCAAAGAGAATATGCAAAGCATTTGACTAAATCAGCTATTTAATCATAATTTTTTTAAGTCTCATAAAGTTAGAAATGTAAGATGCCTCCCTTAACATCATGAAAAGTATCTACAAACATACAGCTAACACTTGCCACCACCACCCCGACAGCCTGAGTTCAATCCCCAGGACTCACTTGGTAGAAGGAGAGAACAGACTTCCCACAAGTTGTTCTCTGACCTCCCCAAGCATGTGCATGTATACACACACACACACACACACACACACACACACACACACACACACACACACACACTAATGTAAAAACATTAAACTTAAATTTTAAATGATTAGGAATAGGGCAAGGATGTTCCTTCTCACCACTAGTATTCAGCATTGCAGTAGAAGTCATTGGTAATATTGTAGCCTAACAAAAAGGAATAAACAATAGCCTGGCATGGTGGAACACTCTTTTAATCCCAGCACTCAGGAGGTAGAGGTAGGCAGATCTCTGTGAGTTCAAGGCCAGCCTGGTCTACAGAGCAAGTTCCAGGACAGCCAAGGCTATTAAACAGAGAAACCTTGTCTGGGCAGAGAGGGGGAAGAAATAAACAACATACAGACTGAGATGGAAGAAATAACAGTCTCTGTTCACAGATGGCATGAAAGTCTGTATAGGAAATCTTTTTTTATATGATTTTTTAAATTTTATTTACATTGGTATTTTGCCTATATATATGTCTGTGTGAGGATGTCACAATTACAGGCAGTTGTGAGATGCCATGTAGGTGCTAGGAGTTGAACTTGGGTCCTCTGGAAGAACAGCCAGAACTCTTAACTTCTGAATCCTCTCTCCAGCCCCTGTATAGGAAATCTTAAAGAATTAAACAAAAATTCATGGAATTATTATAGGGAATTTTAGCAAGGTTACAGGATACAGGGTTGATATGTACACATCACTTATTTTCCTGTATTCCAGCAATGAACAAATGCAAATTAAAATGTGAAACATCATTTACATTAACACTATTAATGAAGAAATACTTATATCAAAGTTGACAAAGTATGTATAAGGTATATATAAGGTGATATACAGTACTCTAATGGAGTTAAAGATGATCTAAATAAAAGGAGAGACATTCTATAACAATGATAGAAAAACTAAGTATTAATAACATATTGATGAGACTTTTCCAAACTTGAGCTGTAGATTTAATTAAGTCCTGATCAAAATCCTCAAAATAACTTGTGGATATTAATAACTGATAACAATTTAAATAGAAAGGCATAAATCTCAAGACAATTAACACAATACTGAAGAGCAAAGTCAGAAACTGACACTACTTGACTTCAAGACTTATCATAAAACCAAAATGATCAGGACAAGTTGGTACTGGTAAAGCACAGATGAATAAAGAATGAATAGAAACCTAGATTCATACAAACCCACCCAGCTGAACTTTGACAAAGGAGAAAAGGTCACTGACTAGGAAAAGAATAGGCAGTCATTTGAATGATTTGTACTAGACCATTTGGACATTCACATGCAAATAATGAATTCAGACACAGTCCTTATGTTGTTTATAAAACTGAAGATGTATCATAGGTCTTAATATAAAATGTGCAAATATGAAGCTTCTAGAAGATATCATAGGAGCAAAATCTAGGTACCTGGGTTTTGCTAGTGATTTTTCATAGCACAAAAAAACACTGTTCCTGAAAGAAAGGGATGAGAAGTAGAAAGTCTGTGAATTTTAAAATCCAGAACGCTTAACACTACCAATACTCTAGGGAAGATGTGGGGCAGTAAGTACTCTGTTTACTGCAGTTGACAAATGCAGATGGTGCAGCCACTTTGTTGAAAAGCTAAATGTTTTATCATTCAAAACACAATTGCCCTGATAGGTTGATGTCCAATTACATTAAAACTAATCTCCATGTAAAAATCTACAGGTGACCTTTATAGCAACTTTATTTAAAATTGACAAGTACTGAAGCCATGAGGGTCTTCTTCTGTGACTAAGTGGACAAACTGTGTTCCTACAAAGGAATGCTATTCATTGATAAGCAAATAAGATCAGGGCAAGGACATGGCCTTACAACCTGTAATCCTAGCACTTTGGAGGCAGAGACAGAGGGATCACAGGTTTGAAGCCAGCCTGGGCTACATGGTAATCCCTATCTCAAACAAATAAAAACAATTTAGTTTCTAATTATTAAGTATAATGTTAGCTGAAGCTGTTTTGTTGATGTTTTTCAAGTTTGCTGAGAATATTTTAAAATTACAGATGAGTTTTGTCAAAAGCTTTATGTACATTATTTATCCACATAATTCTTTAGACTGCTAATGTGATGTATTGCACTAATTGATTGAGTTGTCAACCATTAAAAGAAGAAACCATGGGAGAACATTAAATGCATATTACTAAGAAGGCTGTATACTGTATGATGTCAACTGTATGAAAGGCAAAACTAGAGAGAATAAAAACCTAATGATTGCCCAGATTCTGGGGAGGGAAGACAAGACGAACAAGCAGAGCACAGGGCCATCTGGGGCAGTGGCACTGTTCTATGTAAGTCATGACATCATATGTGATCAAAACTCACAGAACTGTGCAGTACAAGGGGAACCTGTGTAGCCATGGACTTAGTTAAAAGAATGCACCAGTATTGGTCCAGCAATTGTAGCAGACACACTACAATGCAAGGTGTTAATTATACTGGGAATTGTGCAGGACAAGGGGAAGGGAATGCACAAGGACTGTGCTTTCTGTGTAGTTTTTCGATTGTATTTCTGTTGTGTGGAAGTATATAGAGAGGTGAGCAACAGCTTTGTAGAGTCAGCTCTCTCCCACCACCTTTAAGAGGGTTCTGGGGGTCAAACCAGGTTGCCAGGCTTACATGGCAAGCAAGCACCTTTGCCTTCACTGAATCATCTTGCCAGCCCTCTATTCGCTCTATGTATTTTTATAAAGCTAAAAATTTAGTTATGCTTTAAAAATTGGTTAATCACTGTGATAAGATAAATGAGGAGAGTTTAAATAGAGAATCATCATGACAGTGAAATAATAGGAAAGGGAGAATGGATCTGGTGAGAACACTTGGCATCATCATTCTAGGGATCCAGTAAGTGTGGGTCTGTAGAGGCTTCGTTATGCCAAGGGTTAGCAGACTGGATGGCCCGAGAAAAGGAAACTAAAGTCAGTGTTAATGGAACTGGAGAGTCGTTCTTTCCCCTCACCGAATCCTGGATTTCATTTGTTTTCACCAAAGTTCAAGCCAGTGGTAGGTCTGCTTGATCTTCTGCCAGCTGCAGTTGGTTGATGAATGGCTTGTTCTGTGCTGCATGTAAAAACATGGACTGAGGAATTGGGTGGTACTTAAGGATCCCTGCTGAAATGGGGTTACCGGGTAAGTGGAGCAGGCAATGTTGTCTTCCTTGTGCATACAGAATGGATAGAAGAAATCCTCTGCAGCACAGTTGCAACTCCAACTTCCAAGCAACATAGCACAGAAAGAGTCATTGGGAAATTTCCTTAAAAAGGATCCTAAGAGGGCAACATGAGACAGGCCATGTAACTTGTAAAAAAAAAAAAAAAAAAAGCCCAAGATGTGCACCCCAGTTCAGGTGCTCTGGAGGTGCCATTTTAGTAGAAGGGATCCTGCCTTCCGGGAATGTGCTACCTCACCTGCTGGCAATGAATGCATTCCTTTCTTTAGTCCCAGGTGCCCTCTCTGACCTCACTTTTGGACTCCTTATCTCCCAACATCAGATTTCGTTTACTAAGGAGACCAGCTGTCATGAGTGTACTGTGTCAGAAATGGTAGTATTTTATATAATTTTAGACTTTATTATAGTTACAGTAAATTTACAAACTATCAAATTCACTGGCTCTATATCACCAAGTACTCCTGATTTGGTTTGATAGCAATGGCCATTGGCAATCAGTAGGGTTTTTTTCATTTCGGTCTTAATTACTAGTATTTTCAGATCATACATTATATTCACGCTGTGTGTGTGTGTGTGTGTGTGTGTGTGTGTGTGTGTTACAGAATGGCTAAGGAAGGGTTAAAGAAGCTGCACAGTTCAGAGGGGCTAACTTGAAGTCAAAAGTAAATTCCCTAGGATTGTAGAGGGCCAGAAACTAAGTTTTACAAACTATAGGCACAGAAGTATTCAAAACAGTTGTCAGATACTGGCAAGCAGTGTCAAGTGTCAGTTTGAAGTAAGCTGAGTATCATAGGCAGGAGAAACTGTTCACAAGCTAGAGCCTAAAGACAAAGACATAGGTCCTTCAATGTGGCAATTTTGCTGATGAAGGCTCATGATAAGTGACCAGGTGGCAGGTCAGTGCGCTTGCCACATCTCAGTCTTGATGTTTGTTTTATACTCCTAGGTGAGAGTGTTACATCTGGTGCGATTGATACATTCATGTTTTTAATATGATTTAATATATTCATGGGTGTCATTGTTGGCACAAAGAAATTATTGGTGTGTGCCTCCTGTTGTGCTGATAGATGGTGATTGTTTACTTGGGTCAATCAGATACAGCATTTGTTCTTGGCACTTACTTTTAAAATGGAGTAACTCAGGTCAAAGCTATTAGATACAACATCAAGTGACTCAAAGCAAGGTCAGTGTGTTCTCACCAGCCATTATGAATGCCTCCTTTTACACTTTACCTGTAGGGTAGATATTGTGGCAGAGAATGTCTGACTTGGAATTGAAAAATTCAGGGAGACTCGGTGTCTAAGAATTACCACTACTGCAGAAACTACAAAACGCTGCTTGTTTTCCTGCTTGCTTACACACACCCTCATGAGTTGCTCACGAACGGCTTTCCATCACCTTTCTCTTTTCTCTTACTTTTTGCCACTTTCCCTTATTTTCCACTCGATTTTTGTCCCTGCAGCTCATCCCCCTTCGCCTCCCAGTTCTCCTCTGTCTTTTGTTGTCCTATCTACCTTGTCATTCATACATCATGACTTGGCCGCTGATCCTTTTATTATCTGGGAAAGCCTAGTATAACAATGGCTTCAAGTTAGCTAATACTATGCAAATTAACCCACACACATCATTGTCAAGCCAGAACATGGTTATATGGAGGACTCTAATGCAGGAAAAACTGTTTCTATAGAAATACAATGAGGAGTATATGGTTTTAGATCTGTAACCTTGTCAATTGTTTTAATTTATCATGTACTAATTTAGGAATTAACATAATACTTGACAGCAATAATTCAGTACTTTCATATAGTTCTTTGTGGATTACACTTATATACAATTGTGATGACATGCTCTTCATCAGTACCCTCTGGTGTGTGTTGGTGGGTGGTGTTAGTGTTCCAGGCCTGATTCTACAGGGAAGGCATTCACTTTCTGGTCATTGTGGTGCTTCAAATAGAAGAATGGCCCCACAGGAAAGCTGCCTGCACTTGCTTGCTTACTCCAAACAGAGCATGAATAAAAAGCAGCCTTTTAAACACATGTGCCAACATGCATATATCTGTAACCTCCGTACAGAGTGACAAGCCTGTCTGCCATCAGGCTCAGGCAAGCTGGCAATTCTGTTGGTCACAAGTCGATGAGAAAAGCAAGCTCAGGGTGGCTGATTGACACCTTGGAGCAGTCATGATGCTTGGGGGCCCTTCACAGGTTCCTGTGGTTTGTAGGAGAGCAAATATCTGCCTTATGAAACCCCTATCTCCCCCACCCATGCGCCATCACTCGATCACTGCTGAGAGGTGAGCAACATGGAAATGAGCTGCATCGTCTAGAATTTCAAAAAGCCCTGTAGCTATGTGGTGACAGCAGAGCTCTGAGCAAGAGCCCGCCCAGCAGCACGAGGGAAAGATGAACAACTTGTAAGAGGTGTGGCTCATTGCATCCCGCCTCAAAGCAAGAGTCTTCATGTTTTCAGAGTGAAGATGCATTGTTTTAAGATGTACTAGGTACTTACCCCAGGCATTGGTTTGACCTGCAGATGACTTCAGCTTTTGGAATTGTGGAATGTAGAATGAAAACTAAAAATATAGCTGTAGACAAAAGACACAAGAGATGGTTATCTCCAATGAACTGTTCCCTGGAGAAAACTGTCTTGCAGGATAGCTTTATTAGCTCTTCCTTATCATACCACCTAGACGATATCCTAATTTTTATGTTAATATAATTTTTCTCTCACTTATCCCAGTGTAAAGAAACTGACTTGATTTAAAAGTATTTGTTAAAACATCCTTGGGCTGGGATGATAACTTAGTGAAGTGCTTGCCATGTAAATATGAGGACCTGAATTCAATCCTCGGAACCCATGCAAAAAAAATCAAGCATGGTGGGATACCATTGTAAGTCCAACACTGGGGTGCTCTGTCCAGGCAGTTTAGCCTAATGGAAGAGGTCCAAGCCAAGTGAAAGACCTTGTTTCAAAAAAACAAAGTAGAAGGAACCTAAGGAATGGCACCTTAAGTTGACTTCTGGCCTCATATTGTGTAAGTGTACCTTTGTGAGAGTGCAAACTTGTGCTTATATGTCCTCATGCATACATGTAAACACATTACACACACACACACACACACACACACACACACACACAGAGGAAAAACCTAAGCTGAGGTTATTGTTCAGAGTAGATCATTTACTTCCTATCATGTGCAAAGCCCTGGGTTCCATCCCAACACTACCAAAGAAAAAGAAGTCTTTATTAATATACGTTAGAAATACAAGTTCCATATTCCAGCTTGAATTACCATTCAGTAGAAAAGCTTTATCTTCTTATCAGAAAATCTGTATGTGCAGTCTTCTCAATGTTAGATTACATGAAATAAATTGAAACAACATTTTTTTTTTTCAGATAGGCACTATACATTCCGGGGGATCTCAAGTACTAGGCCAGCCTAGGCTACAGAGCAAGATCGTGCATCAGTATTGACCAGCCTGGCATAGGTATCCCCTCCCTCTTTAGAGATTAGAATAACTGTTTTGTTTTTTGAAAAAAGATCTCACTAGGTAGCCCAAGTTGTCCTTGAACATACATACTGCCCGAGCCTCACAAGTGTTGGTATAACAGGTATGTGCAACTGCACTTACTTTACAATGCTTCTCGTCAGACAAGACATGGTGATTTCTTAGACCTCAGTATCCCATGTTAAGTCTATGGAAAGTTGCTCATGACTTAGAACAATGTGGACTTAAATTAGAACTATCATTCTCTCAAGTCTGTGATTCTTTCTTATTCCTGTATGTCTGAGGTTTGACAGAATTCCTCTTATTTTCTTGGGTCTACTTTTTTGTATGTGTGATTTTGAGATAAGAGTCTCACTGTGTAGTTCTGGCTGTCCTGGAAGTCACTTTTGTAGACCAGATTGGCCTTAAACTTACAGAGATACACCTGGCTCTGCCTCCTAAGTGCTGGGATTAAAGGCCTGTGCCAGTATTGCCCGGCTATGAGTTCATACTTTTATACTTGTTTAACTTGGCAAAATTTAGAGGATGTATTGCTTCTTGAATTACATATCTTTTTTACATGTTCCAATTATCATTACTTCTAAATTTATAGCATTTTCCCCATTAATGGAAAGTACTGTGTTTCAATATTTGGATTCCTCCCCAACTCATACGTCTCTTAAAATATTTACATCATGTTCTACTTATTTTCTAGAATTTCACATTTATAACACAAAGATTTTTTTTTCCAAACTGGTGTTTTAAAAATAATTTTCGCCGGGCGATGGTGGAACACACTTGTAATCCCAGCTCTAGGGAGATGGAGGCAGGCAGATCTCTGTGAGTTCAAGGCCAGCCTGGTCTACAAAGCCACTTCTAGGACAGCCACAGCGGGTACATAGAGAAACCCTGTGTTGAGAAACTAAAAAAAGAAAAAAAAGAAAAGAAAAAGAAAAAAAGGTGTATATATGTATATGTACATATATAATAAAGAATTTATCTATTTATAAAATATAATAATTTTCATAGAGCACTGGAGAGATGGCTTAGCAGTTAAGAGCACTTGCTGATCTTGCAGAGGGCCTGGGTTCAATTCTCAGCACCCACATGTAGCTCGCAAGCATCTGTAACTACAGTTTCAGGGACTCTGATTGCCTCTTGTGGTCTTCATAGGCAACAAGCACACATGTAGTGCACATACATACATGTACGCACAACACTCATGCACATCAATCAATAGATATTTTTAAGTTTATAATTCTTGTAAAAGTAAACTTTGAAATAAATAGGACACTATCTGTCACACTCAGCAGTGTCCTATTTTAGTGCATTGACAAAAGGTGGTAGATAGTATCCTGCTTGTTTCAAAGCGAAGCCATAAGTGACTAAATATTTTTTTATATAAAGCAAACACCAAAAAAGTAAATAGGCACTCTAAGTTTGGACTTAACGTTTTGAAATAACTTTACATTAAAGGTTTGTGGAGGTGGAGGAGGTGGTAGTGGTGGTGGGTGGGTGTATGTATGTGTGTAATTCATGCCTATATGTGGGCATGTGTAGGATAGATATTAATATAGGATGTCCCCCCCCTATCTCTCTCCACTTTACAATTTTTATTTAAGTATTTTATACCTGAGTACACTGTGCTTCCATCCTCCCCATCCTCCTCCCCACTCCAACACTTCTAGTATTCCAAGACTTAGGTATAGGGATTGATTGTGTTGCAGATGTCCCTTCGGGAGCTGGGCACCCCACAGTCACTTGTTCTCTGCATTCTGAATAGTTGATTCCACCTTGTTCTTTGAGACAGGATCTGTTACTGAACCCTGAGTTCACCAATTTACTAGACTGGCTGGCCTGTGGGCCTCTGGGATCCTGTCTTTGCCTTCCGATGCTGAGAGTATAAGCATTTAAGGCCACACTAGACTTTTTGTGGGTGCTTAGAATCCAAACTTAGGTCCTTATGCTTGTGCATCAAGTACTTGATGGAATACTAGGCCATCCCCCAAGTTCCCCATTGAAGTATATTAATTTATAAATCAATACAGTCTAAAAATCTTAGGAAACCTCTAAGTTTCTTTTACTTAAAAACTTCTATGGGCTCAGAGTATAGCTCAGTGGTAAAATGCTAACCTAGCATGCATCAGGCCCTGGATTTGGTGCCCATTACCAAAGAGAAAAAAAGATAAATATTAACACATAAATAACCAGTCACTTCCTGCCTTCATCCATCCCAGAGCATATGTATAGATTAGACACTATAGAGTCAATCCCGTGCAATGTGGGGGGAAAGTATTATAATTTCATCTAAGATACATAAATAGGAAGAGTTCCAGCCTTCATTACAAAGCAAGTTAACAAGGACAGTGAATATGTTTCACTCCTCTAAAGGTCCCAGTTACATTTTCAATAGCTACCTTAGAGTATACATTAGAGAAAGGAGAAAGTAATTAAAATGCATTTTTAAAAATGAAAAAGTGTTTCAGACCACCTTCTACCCACTTGTAGGCTGCCATTATACCAACTAGTCCCCAGAAAGGACTGTCACCATCAATTTTTCATTTTTAAAGGATTCTAATTCTTTCAGCATGTTCATATGGTTTTATAAAGCCCCAGATGCCCAGCAAATCCCCTTGGTGTTGTAAGACAAGATTGCTGTTAAAAAATGTTTAGGCTTAGTCAGCTTCTTCTTGCTGCTGACTACATGAGGGGCTCTGGGAAATAGTGTTTATACTAAGCTCAAATTGATAGGGCAAGTTTAATGCAATTGGGTCAAAGGTACAACTGCTTAGCTGGTCTCATCAACCACTCAGGTTTCGGCATGGGTTTATAAGGAGAGGTCTGTAGTGATAACATCTGGCTGCTTGAGTTTGACTGTGTTTTGCCTGCCATGATTGAAGGGAATTTAATGGTGAGGAGGGGGAAACCTAGGGCAATTTCGTTCTTGAGTTATGGTTCCAGATAGAAAAGGCAAAACAGCAGACTTTGATCCACTCAGATCTGGCCATGTAGCAGTTTGTTGATGAGATGTGTTTCTTCCAGCTCCACCCCCTCCCTTACAGACAGCCAGCCATCCCTGCTAGGACGGGGCAGAGCTGTTGTGGGTATAGCTGCCACCAAGCTCCTGCTAGCCTTACTCAGATTCCTCTTTCACACTCATTGCTCCTTAGGGACTCAGAGGTTACTTATGCTCAGTAGAAGTCACAGCATTGCTTCTTAGAATGCTCTATAAATATCATTGAGCAGCTGAAAGAGGTGATTACATTGGATTGCTAGACAGAGAATGAATAAATGGCTGGTGTCTGGCTGAGTTCATGTTGTCAAAGAAAAGGAGCTTAGAAGTTAGCTCCACCACTCCCATTAGCTTATTTAGTGCCAGGGATACAAGGACACTGCGGCCTCGACAACTAAAAATATAAATAAATGTATCATAAATCTTCTCTAGATGTTTAAAGAATTCTGAACTTTTACTTTGGAGTCATTGAATGTCTTCATAACTTTTTAAGTCTGCAAGAACATTCTTGTAAAATAAGGAAATAGACAAACATATTAGTTAGTTTTTCATCACTGTGACCACAATACCCAACAGAAACAATTTGAAGGAGGAAAGATTTATTTGGGTCCACAGTTTCAGAGAGTTTCAGTCCAAGGCTGGGAAAACAGAGCAGAGCAGTTCAGTTCATGGAGTCAGAGGCTTATGGTGGAAGCTTTTCACATCAAAGCCCTACTTTTAGTAATTTATCTCTGCTAGCCAGTCCTCACTTCCTAACCTCCTAAAGGCTCCATAGCTTCCAAGATTAGCACCAACTAGGGAACATGCATTCAAAACATGAACCTGTGAGGGACTTCAGATTCAAACCATACAGCATGCAAAGACGAACCAGTTCACTAACTCTGAGCATGTAATGTATCTACTCCAAACAGGAGAGGAAGCCCAGCCTGCCTGACCGTCATGTGAGATAGATGGAGCAGAGGAGACAGGCAGGCATTGTGCTGAGGTTGTGGGGACTTTGAGATAAACTTTGACTGTCCCATCTAGTACCTAACAACTTTCAGTCTCTTGACTCACAGGGCATTTGTTCTCAGACCTATTACAGAGGATAAGTGTTCAGTCCATATGCCAGCTACATACTTGTCCCTGAGGATAGGAGAGACAATAGTGATATATGTGAAAGCTCTCCATAAGCTTGAAGCCCTGCCTTCATGGTGTCAGTGGAGCTGCTCCATTGACAGTCCATGTGACTGAAGCTCGTTAGTATGTCAGAGGTCACTATCTCCTCCAAGACAGCAGAGTTGTAAATGCTGTCCCCATATGGGAACTTTCTGCCTATTGTAGTCCTTAAACTAACTGGACATACTAAATCCAAGCATACCAAACAGATCTGCTAAGGTGCTGTTTAAATGAGGCATATTCAGGGAAATGTCGCCATAGTCTAGGATGCTATTTAGAAATTAGGGACTTCTTCACAGAGCATGCTGAACACCACATTTAAAACGTGGGCCCATGTGTATACAAATTCTGGGTTTTAGGGCTACATAACCATTGTATAAACAAGACAAATGTATATCCTTCTCCATCCCGTTGCCTGTTACAGCAACAATATATGGCCACCAGGGAGAAGAAGGGAAGCCCACCCCTCATACTGACAAAGTTTCCTGAAACACCCTAATACTCATTCCTACCTCTAAGGAATCTTAGCAAGTCCTTAATAATGTCACCTAAGCCTTTGTTGCTGGTACACTAACAAAGAAGGACTGTTTTTCCTCCACTCTTAAATTAATATTTTACTCTTACTTTCAGGGTTACCTAAAGTCATAGTGGTTATTCATTTTGTACCATTAAACACATGCACAATCTTACACAGCAGTCAAAGATAAGCTGCCAGCTGCCTGTTTCATGAATTGGGCCTGTCCAAGGGTGTTAGAGACGTGCAAAGCCAACTGTGTGTACAGAAGGATATATATATTTACATAGCATATGGGTCATGGGGTACAGGATTGTGATGCATACTACTGAAGTAAAATACATTAATTCCATATTGAAGACAATTTTAACTTAAGTTTTAGAATGTTTTTACTGTCTTATACCCTTGCTATCAATGAGATATCATGAAAAATCTCTTCCTGACTGTAAAGTGTTTATTACTATAAAATAACCAGAATCTTCCTAATTAAATATTAAGTTTAAACATTAAATATTCGCATCCTGACCCAATTGTGAGTCTGGAAACACAGTTGCAAAAAGAGTAATTTATATAAGGTTCAAATACTCCAATATGGCAGAGCACTGTTTTTTTGTGGTTATTGGTTTTTTGTTTGTTTGTTTGTTTTGTCTTGTTTTGTTTGTGTGTGTGTGTGTGTGTGTGTGTGTGTGTGTGTGTGTGTGTGTGTGTGTTCTCTGTGAGTATATGTGTGGTGTGGGCATGGATGTGGAAGTCAGAGGACAGCTTGCAGGAGTCTGTCCTCTCATTTTACCGTGTGAGTTCTAGAGAGCATCAGGCTTGGCAGCAAGCGCCTTTACCCTCTGAGCCCTCTGCGGCCTGCAGATCCCTTCTGAGCAAGCAGTTAAAGCTCTTGTCTTGGAAAGTCCCACTCCCAGACACAGCCACTCCCCTCATTCATCTCAGTTCTCATGGAGCTGAATGCCATGTAAGAACCCCACACACCCTGACGCTTGTTCACACAGCACAGTGGGGTCATAGGAGAGCAAGCACTTGAAGCAGGAACCCTGAGGACCAAGAAAACCCATGATGATCTAAAAATCTCATGGCCAGAAGGACAGTGCAGACTTTGACTGGTTTTTCACTGAATAGAGTCTTATCCTGTAAAAAAAATTCTGAAGCTCCTTTAAGCTTGTTTGGGGAAAAAGAATAAGTAACATTTCAGAATTAATTTGATAGATCACCTAGATAAAATTAACTGGGTTACTTTCTTTTCTTTTTTAGTACTTTTTTTAGTTGGTATACAAAATAACGGTTCCATTATGACATTTTCATGCATATAATTGTGCTTTGTTCATATCCCCCACACACACTACCTTCCCTTTCCTTTCTTTCTCCTCCTTCTCACTTATCCCTTCCTGGGCCAAAAAAAGAAAACAAACCTCTGCTTTCATGATTGATAGATAGATAGATAGATAGATAGATAGATAGATAGATAGATAGATAGATGATAGATAGATGATAGATAGATACATAGATAGATAGATAGATAGATAGATAGATAGATAGATAGATAGATAGATAGATAGATAGATAGACAGACAGACACAAACAGTGATATGTTATCATTCTTGCTGTTACCTGTTTTTCTTATTACAAACAACTTTTACCATAAATTAATGCAAAAAAAACTATAGTGGGTAGTATATGCTGTTTCTTTGTAGGTTAGATACAAGCATTTATCTACCAAGTTCTTCTGCTTACTATGTGTTAGCACTGCTCCAGACTGAGGCTTGCAAAGTTCCTCACCTTTAGGATGCTTATAGCCTGAAGGGACAGCAGATACCATGTAACATATCTAGTTGAAGTATGCTCTGTAAAGAACAATGAATTGGAGTAAATAGTGATGAAGGAAGGCCTCTCTAATAATGAGATGATGTAGTAGATCTATGAGGGACGTGAAGGAGCAAGCCACTCCCCTCTCCAAAGGGAGGGTTGTTCCAAAGAGGACAGTGTAAAGGCCCTGGGGCAAGTGTGTACTTTTTTCTCAAGTGAAGGAAACTGCAGCTGGGCCAGTGTGCTTGGCATGACAAACAGGGAAGTAGTGGGTATAAAGAGAGGAGCCATCGACCACTCACATTAGACACTTTGGGCCCTGTCACAGGGTTGCTGTCACAGGAGTGCCACCTTGGGAAGCTGCAGGGATGAAAAGGAAGCTCGCTTTGCAATACTGTCCTAGAAGAGATGGGATCTTTGGGAAATTTCCAAGACAGGCAGTGCGGGTGTGCTGTGGTGCTAAGCTGTAGAGGAGCAACTACCTCTGGAGCCAACACCCTCAGCCTACTTCCTAGTGCTCCAACTATAGGATTCTCATGAGCTCTTTCTTGGCCAGTACTTCCCAGAAGCCTCAGCAAAGATTGCAAAGTTGATGGAGTTGAAATTCTCCCCCTTCCTTTCCTAGGACACACTCTAGAAAAGCTATGAGATGCTAAGTCAAGCTGCAATCTGATCACAGATCTCATGTCCAAGCAGTAAATTCCACGTTGTTGTTTTTCAAGACAAGGTCTCTACGTAGCCCTGGCTGTCTTGCAACTTGCTCTGTAGACCAGGCTGGCCTTGAACTTAGAGATCTGCCTGCCTCTGCTGGAATCAAAAGCATGTGTCACCATGCCCAGCTTTGAGCAGTAAATTATATGAATACAGATTCTTTAGTTTTGACATCTCCCTAAAGGACATCAGAGAAAGGCTGGTTTTGAAAGAAGGGCATTAAAGCTTCCTTACAATATCCAGAAAAGGGGAAATAGGAAGATATTATTAAAAGAAATGGAAGCCAGTATCCTCTGACAGTTTCTTAGGGGGATTTACACAAGCTTTGCTCTGAATCTTCACTCATTCATTAATTGCATAAACCTCTCTCTCCAGAGCAGCCAGTGGCCTTCAACACCCGGCCAGCGTGCATGTTAGGCAGTAGTAAATAACAAATCTTGTGCCGCCTGTCCCCCAGGAGCCAACAGGGGAAACACTGGAATAAAAAGTCTAGATGTTTTCCCTGTCGGGACAGTCTGAGTATATTAACATAAACCAGTTATTGTGACATCACCATCCACATCACTACTCCTGAAGTGTTCCATTGAGTTATACTGAGAGCATTAGATAGTCCTAAGAATAAATGTACCAGAAACCTAGTGATACAGACACCCTATCCCTCCCACAGCCCTCTCCCTGCCCCAGCTCTGTCCTCAGACCAACCGTGGTGATTTTAAAATGAGTTTAGCCCCTGAATGCCAGGTTGCCAGTCATCCACAGCCACAGCTGCCACCATGCTTATGGCTGCTCCTAAGTTCACACCTCCCAACTCTCCCCTCCCTGTCTCCAAGAGCCTGAGCCATGACAGCTGGACTTGATTCTAATGCTATGTGAGCGTTGGTCGCTATTCTTCTCAAGTCTACGAGAAGTCTATGGTGAGATTCACCTGGTAGAGCAAGTGTCAAGTGCCTGCTACACAGAAGGCACCGAATGTGCTACTTCTGTCCTTCCCCTCTCTTGCTCTCCCAAGTCCCCTCCGGTCACCCAGGTTACCACCCCAAACACTAGCACCTAAGTTTCTAGAGCAGGTCTTTGTGCCAGCCCACACTCTGGCCGACACCACCTCTCAGCAATGCCTTCAGTTCCTCAGTGTGGGTTTCTGGTGGTTTCGTTGTGGTTTGCTTTAGTTTTGATGACTGTCAGATAATGAACTTCTCTGGCCCATGTTTCCTCTTTTTCTCTATGTTCTCCTTCCTTACTCACAACACTCTTTAACCCTAACATCTGGTAATCCAGCTGCTGGACCTGCCTGGGCCTTCCTTTTCTTCTTGTTGGGGAAGCTCTGCACATTCTAAAGATAGCTAGTGTCCTTAGCAAGCTCATTCTTATAACAGCCACTCCCTGGACTACTGACCAGTACATTAATCTGTGATTAGAATAATCTGCTTATGAGTATTCTGCTTTACCCAGTTATTTCCAAATACCATGAACATAGAACTTTGGGTTTTCGGTAACAGAATGCTGGGGCACACACACTCAGACCATAGCTTGGATGTGGAGGTTGTTTGCTGACACAGGTGCTATCTGTCACGATCCTCATCACAATTCTCCCAGGTTGAAATGAGGCTGGGTGGAGTGGGACAAGGACTGCCAGCACCTGAGGACTTGCCCCCTCCCACAGCATGCCAGTGAGTGTCCTGCCTGTGGCCACAGGCTCACCTGCTCTGGGCAGCTGAACAAGTGAGCCTGCTGACCCCACCATCACACAGCGCTATGTGCAGTGGATCAGGTGCTTCTAATTTACATTCCCAGACCCACTCCGGGTTTGTTGTGTGGCCTCAAGCAAGCCACTTAACCTGTCTGCTTCCTTATATGTCAAATAGAGATAATAATACTTAACGACATCACAGGGGTGTAGTGTATATTAATTAATTAATGTTTGTAAAGGGCTTTGAAGACGCGGAGCTGCCTAAGTGTTTAAGTATTCTGATGATAGTCCTTGCTTATGATTAGAGCCTTCCCAGGTTCCTGGACCATCACTCACTGATTACAACCAGGATCTAATAGCACCTGCTGTGCAATCCATGCAGAGCTCTACGGCATTGCCCCTGAGAATTGAATCTAAATGGACTTATAATTTGAAAAAGATGTTGTTCAGCCTGTCCCAAACTCTGAGCCAGTTATGGAGCTTGCTAGCAATTTTCCAGAAGCCAGGAGGACTGCATAGAGGCATTGGCTGTAAATGGCACTCGCTGTAATTGCTTTCATCTTTTATGTGGTGCTACTCAGATAGAGATTGAAAACTGCTTGCTGGGACTTGTGGTCTCCTCAGGCCATATCTCAAGGTCACAGTGGGGGAAAATAGAGGCCATATGGTGTGACCAGCACTGATTTATATACAAATACATGAAATCTGCTAGAAAGAATGAAAGCCCTAATGTGCTTGTCTTCTGAGCAGCTCTCTGAGAGATTCCAGGTGCTGTGTGAATATTCTTGACCACTCCTCCTGTGTGGCCACATCTGTCTTCAGAGCAGGGTTTGGTTTGGATTTTAGATGTACAGCAACATCCTCTATAATGTCATACTGCCCATATTTCACAAATCAAGTAAGTGGTTTGGATTCAGGTACTAGATGGCTAATGATCAGAATAAAAAATACCCATTCCCAAATGTTTTTAGAGTTTGCACTATTACTCATGTGATCTAGGAAGTGATCAAAATCAAAATCCGCCCAGCATTGGCACATTTGATCACACTTTGTCTTAGGACTCTAACCAAAGACATGCTCCTCAGACATTCTTCTTGATGACATGAGTTTTCATTTCTTTTCTGCAGGATTGGGGACGTTGTGTATGTTAATTAATGTTTGTAAAGAACTTTAAAGATGCAGAGCTGCCTGAGTTTTCCAGATTTGTAAAGCTAAAATGGCCTCCTCAATTTTTCTTGGTACTTTACTTGCTCTCCAATATGTGATGCTTTAAACCTATCGATGGTATCAGTAAGGGCTGCAGGATGGTTCAGTGGGTAAAGTTGCATGACCCAGAACCCAGAAAAAGATAACCAACTTCATAAAGTTGTCCTCTGACGTGCACACATGCACAATTTTGAAATAAAGAATACAAAAGATTTAAAATTTTAGGATTGTAAGACTCCTGCAACAGCTTCAGGCCTAGTTTTACCATAAAGGGCTTTTCCAGCCCCATTAGGACCTCTTAGAATGTAATCAGCACATGGATAGGTGGCTTGTTGAAGCCTGCTGCATGCTTATCATCCAGAGGTGATTAGCAGAGGCTTGCTTTGGGGGCAGTCTGCAGCAAGGGAGCTAGAGCTCATGTGTGAACAAGTGAGCACATCATTTTCTTCAAGGTGCTTAGACACCTGCTTTGAAAACATGGCAAGTCCTTTGAGATGGGGAGTAGTAATGAGACACTCATGCAGAGCTTGCAGCCAAGCTAATTCATTCCAAATTGACCCAGGCTGGAAAGACTTCTTCTCATAGGGCACCTCAGAGTACCCAATTTTTTTATTTTATTTTATTTTATTTTATTTTATTTTATTTTATTTAAATTTATTTATTTATTATGTATATAGTGTTCTGCCTACATGCATGCTTGCAGGCCAGAAGAGGGCACCAGATCTCATTACAGATGGTTGTGAGCCACCATGTGGTTGCTGGGAATTGAACTCAGGACCTCTGGAAGAACAACCAATGCTCTTAACCGCTGAGCCATCTCACCAGCCCCCCAGAGTACCCAATTTAACACTCCCTTTTCTGGACAACATGTTAACTTGTTAGGAAAATAAGCTGGATTTTAAATGTGTGTTACATTTTAAACTGAAAGTGCAGGTTATGTAATAATTATGATGATCTTTTTGCTGGAAGCTGAAGTTTTTTTAAGGTAACCTGGAATTTATTGTAATAAATGTTGGAGTGAAATATATCCACGACCCTATATCCATTTGTTGTGCCTAGAAGCTTTATGGTATTGGAGGGGATCAGAGAGGGTGGAGCCTACTCTTGTTGCCACTAGTCACACCTCCCCTTTGACCACCCCTTGGCTTCAGCCACCTTGTTACCACTTTCTTGCTCTGTATCCACCCCTGTTGTCCCCTACTTTGTCTCAGCAGGCACACTGAATGTAGTTCATGGGTACAACGTATAGTTGTACATGTAGTTGAACATTCGTTCATGTTCAGAGCCAGGTACCAGGCTTCAATGGAAAGGAACATCAAAGTGTGATGCTCATGATTCCATCCCTCACAAGAAAGCCATGGCCCAGGAGATATGCTTTAGTTAGAAAACTTTGCTCAAGGATCTTATTGGGGTGGGTATTCTAAAATTAACTTACTGACGATCTTACTAGGATAAGTATTCTAAAATTAACTTACAAAGATGATTGCAAAAAAGTTACTAAAGACCATTGAATTGCATGATTGAATGTATGAGCTCTATGATATATAAAATATGCAACATGAAGTTGGGGAGAAAACAGAAAATCCTAAGATTCCCCAGTGTGGGATCTTCTCCAGTCCTTCCAACCTAGCTGGGAGCATTTCCAGCTCCCTCCACT